GTGTGTGTGTGTGTGTGTGTGTGTGTGTGTGTGTGTGTGTATGTATGTTATATTTGTGCTGATAAATAAATAAAGGGAGACTAGTATAGATCTATTTCAAGCTATTTAGCTCTCATCAGCTAGCCATACCCTTGCTGGGAATCGAACCTGTGCTCTATTGCCTCTTAGGCAGATATTCGATTCCCAGCAAGGGTATGGCTAGCTGATGAGAGCTAAATAGCTTGAAATAGATCTATACTAGTCTCCCTTTATTTATTTATCAGCATAAATATTATGCTGTTTGTTATATATTGTTTGTTTGTTTGTTTGTTTGTTTGTTTGTTTATATATTTATTTATTTATTTATTTATTTATTGGTTATGAGGCCAAAGGCTTAGTTTCGTGGGTTTCACTAGCCTCAACTGGCCCCTTTCTCAACCTTTTAAGATGCGTGGACTTCAATTCCCAGAATTCCTCAGCCATCCAGTCTTTTCTATGCATCCTACGGTACTGTGGAGATAGTTCTCGATTTACGACCACAATAGGAACCAGAACTTCCATGGCTAAGCCAGGTGGTTGTTAACGGAGTCACACCCAGTTTTACAACCTTTGATAAGCGAATCAGTGCAGTTGCTAAGCAAATCATGTGATTGGTAAGCGAATTCAGTTTCCCTCATTGATTTTGCTTGGAAGTTGGGAGGGAGGGAGACGAAGGAAGGAGGGAGGGAGGGGGAAGGAAGGAAGGGAAAAAAAGAGAAGGGAAGGAAGGAGAGAGATAGGGGGAAGGAAGGAAAAAAGGGAGAGGGAAGGAATGAAGGAAGCAAGAGAGGGAAGGGAGGGAAGGAAGGAAAAAGGAGAAGGAAGGAAGGAGAGGGAGGGGGAAGGAAGGAAGGAAAAAAGGGAGAGGGAAGGAAGGAAAGAGAAGGAGGGGAAGGAAGGAAAAAAGAGAGAAGAAAGGAAGGAGAGAGGAGGGGGAAGAAGGAAGGAAAAAAGGGAGTGTAAAGGAAGGAGGGAGGGAGGGAGGAGGGAGGGGGAAGGAAGGAAGGAAAAAAGGGAGAGGGAAGGAAGGAAGGAGAGAGGGAAGGGGAAGGAAGGAAGGAAAAAGAAAGAAGAAAGGAAGGAAGGAAGGAGAGAGGGAGGGGGAATGAAGGAAGGAAAAAAGAGAGAAGGAAGGAGAGAGGAAGGAGGGGAAGAAGGAAGAAAAAAGGGAGAGTGAAGGAAGGAAGGAGAGAGGAGGGAGGGGGAAGGAAGGAAAAAGAGAGAAGGAAGGAAGGAGAGAGGGAATGAAGGAAGGAAAAAAAAGAGAAGGAAGGAGAGAGGAAGGAGGGGAAGAAGGAAGGAAAAAAGGGAGAGTGAAGGAAGGAAGGAGACGGAGGGGGAAGCAAGGAAGGAAAAAAGGGAGAGGGAAGGAAGGAAAGAAGAGAAGGAGGGGAAGGAAGGAAAAAAGAGAGAAGAAAGGAAGGAGAGAGGAGGAGAAAGAAGGAAGGAAGAAAGGGAGTGTGAAGGGAGGAGGGAGGGGGAAGGAAGGAAAAAAGAGAAGGAAGGAGAGAGGAGGGGGAAGAAGGAAGGAAAAAAAAGAGAAGGAAGGAAGGAGAGAGGAGGGAGGGGGAAGGAAGGAAGGAAGGAAAAAAGAGAGAAGGAAGGAAGGAGAATGCTAGTTGCCAAGCACCCAAATTTTGATAGCATGACTGAGCAGCTGCTGTGACAGTCATAAGTACAAGGACCTGGCCTCAGACACTTTTTCAGACCCACTGTAACTTTAAACCGTCACTCAATGAATGGTTGTATGTTAAGGACTGCCTCTAATGGGCTCCCCAGAACCACGGGGGTGGCAAAGTGGTTTTGTTTTGGGGGGGTAGATCTCAACTTCCGTGTTTCCGAAATTTATTACGAAGGTCAGAAACTGGTCAAAGGGTCAGACACAAAAAGGAACAAAACAACCAACAAATCTCATTTTGTGATGCGAATTGACCTCCCTTGATCTGGCCCATCATTTCTGGATTATTAATGAAATTACACCTTTCATTCATTTGGCTTAAAAGTGTTGCTTTAACAATTCCACCTTTAAGTGAGTTTGCCCAGATTTCCCCAGAAAAGAGCTGATTGAATCAACATTTCTGCACTACTCTCTTTCTCAAATAAATGTTAAGTTTCTCTCCCTCATGGAGGAGAAAAGACACTCGAGGAAAAGCAGTTTTGTGATCTCCAAGGTTTGAGGTGAGCCTATAGGTGGTCCTGGACTTACGACCACAATTGAGCCCAAAACTTTCTGTTGCTAAGGGAGACAGTTGTTAAGTGAGTTTTGCCCCATTTTACGACTTTTCTGGTCACATTTGTTAAGTGAATCCCTGCAGTTGTTAAGTGAGTAACATGGTTGTTAAGTTAATCTGGCTTCTCCATTGACTTTGCTTGTCAGAAGGTCGCAAAAGGGGATCACATGACCTCCCCCAGGACACTACGACCATCATAAATATGAGTCGGTGGCTAAGTGCCTGAATTTGGCGAAGTGAGTTTTGCCTCATTTTACAACCTTTCTTGCCACAGTTGTTAAGCGAATCCCTGCAGTTGTTAGTCGTACATGGTTGTTAAGTGAGCCCGGTTTTGATTATGCTTGCTGGAAGGTTGCAAAAGGGAATCACCTAACCCTGAGGTGATGCCAGGATCATAATTACAGGTAGTCCTCGATTTACGACAGTTCATTTGGTGACCGTAGTTGCAAGGGCACTGAAAAAAGCGACTTATGACCGCTTTTTCACACTTATGACCAGTGCAGCATTCCCATGGACACGTGATCCAAATTCAAATGCTTTTGCAACTGATTCATATTTATGACGGTCGCAGTGTCCCAGGGTCATGGGATCCCCTTTGCGTCCTTCAAAGTCGGGGTGTGTGTGTGAAACCAGATTCACTTAACAACCGTGTCACCAATTCAACAACTGCAAACGTGGCAATAAATGTGATAAAATGCACTAAAAATCACTTAACAAGTGTCTCGCTTAGCAACAGAAATTTTGGACTCAATTCTGGCCATAGGTTGAGGACTAAATGTATGAACCAGTTGCCAAGAATCTCAGTTTTGATCACCTGATCATGGGGATTCTGCAAACAGTTATTCAGTGTGAAAAATGGTCGTAAACCCCCTTTTATTAGTGCCGTTTCAGTCGCTAAACGAACAATTGCTAAGTTAAGGACAATCTGTAGTTGTGATTTTTTTCTGCATTTAATATTTTTACTACTGTCTCTTAGTATTTCACTGCTTTATTGTTTTGTTATAGTGTGATAGGGCATTACAATCAAGTTATTTGCTTACAGCACTGAACTGGACAATGCTATCAGAACTTGGAAGCTAAGCAACATTTGCTCGGGTTAATCATTGGATGGGCGACATCATCAGGGAATTCCAAATCCGACTGTTAAAAGTTGGAAAAGCTTCACAGAACAAAATTACGAGACCCTTTGATGGCGTTGCCAAGGTAGCAATACGGACGTTATCACCAAAAGCAGGGTTTCCCAACCTCAATCCCTTGAAAGGACTCCAATTCCCAGAATTCCCCAGCTAACGGTTGCTAAATGGAACAGGGGCACTCTCCAATATCTGCAAACTCGGATCGATTATATGACAGATTTCCTTTCTANAAAAGGGGAGTGGAGTTTGCAGGAGACAATGAGTTCAATTCAATTAGGGTGAAGATCTGTTCCTGACCTCTTGCCAAGTATTGTCTGCTACAGAGTGGCGTTTGGAAGATATCGGCCTGGCTGTTCTCCAAGTCTGATAAAGGTCTGTGGTTGTGAAATCTCTTGGTCTTTCAAGAGATTGTTGGCCGGGTCTTTGCTGAAGAGGAATTCACTTTAAACTAAACAAAAGAGGTTTTATCGGGACGAGGAGTCGGCTTCGTGCTTTTGGGGAACCTCGGTCAGAACAAAGGCAGTCTTTGTCGCATGAAACACAGAAGGAGAAAACTTTCCAGAAATACGAACAGTTGTCTGCAACAACCAAACCGCTCCTCCCTTTTCATCCTATTTATTCCCCAGCCAGGGACAAGCCAGTCAGCGTCTATGTTTGTTTTGCTTCCTGAGCCAACTCATTGTCCTCCATTGCTCACCTCTCCTATCTGCTCTGTGGATATGCGCATCTGAAACAGGCCTCAACTGTTCCTCCTCCACACTCATCTCAGCCTCCAAAGGCAGCTGCCTCTCCGGTGGCTGGGAAATGTCCGACACAGATCATCCATCAGAGCCTTCCCCAGACCCCAGGACTGGCCCACGTTCCTCCCCAACCTCCTCATCGTCCGAGTCCCCCGCCAGCTCCGCAGGACACTGGCGAGCCACAACACAACCAGCTGTGCTTTACAGGGTTTTAAAAACCCCGTTTTGTGGTTGTCCTAACTTCAGACGGTCGTAAGACTAGTGGTCGTTAAACGAGGACTCCCTTTAATTTCCATACCTGGGTTGTTTGTTTGTCTGTTTACTCTGCAAGCACTCTTTGCCTGTGTGTTGCTGACGTGTTGTTTTCTCTTTGCAGCCATGACCGAGGAGCTGAAACTCAAACTTCAGGAACGAAGGGCCAAGATGGAGGATTAAAAGACGGCGGACATTTTGATTAAAGAATCCACACGGTGAAAAAGGAAATAGAGGAACCGGCTGAATTCCCAACCAAAATCTACCTCTGGATCCCTCTGGATCCGCTCTCTCGGGCGAACCAGCAATCCTGTTTTGTGGGTCGGATCAGAAAACCCACCCCTTGATCTGCCTTTGACTCTCCTGGGCTGCTGTGATGTCACACAGCCAGCACAAATCTCACAATTAAAAGTCAAGAAGGGACTAAGAAGGAGTTTTAGGGAGAGTTCCCAAACGTGGCACGAAAAAATAACCAATCGGTCTTGGATCCAGGAAATAATTAACCAGTGGAATGACTTGCCACCAGAGGTTTGTGGGTGCTCCAACACTGGAGGTTTTAAAGAAGAGACTGGACAAACATTGGTCTGAAATAATATAGGACCGTTATGGCGAATCTACTGCATGGGTGCGAAAGTGGCACACAGAGCCCTCTCTACAGGCACACGACCGGTTGCCCCAGCTCAGCTACGCCATGTATGTGCACGCACCTGCCACCGGCCAGCTGATTTTCGGGTCTCTGCCGCAAAACTCTCGCACGTTTTTAGCTCCCAGGAGGCTTCAGGGAGGAACTGGGTATGTCTAATTTAATGAAAAGAAGGACCAGGGGAGACATGATAGCAGTCTTCCAATATCTCAGGTGCTGCCACAAAGAAGAGGAAGTCAAGCTATTCTCCAAAGCACCTGAAGGTAGAACAAGAAGTGATGGATAGAGACTAATGGAGGAGAGAAGCAACTTAGAACTGAGAAGNGAACCACTGAACTGCAAATAGCAGTCAGCTGAAGTGGCCTGCAATACTGCACCCTAACCACTGCGCCACCTCGGCTCTATAGAAGTTTTTTTCTCTTTTCTAGAAACTCTAGAAGGCCATCCAATGAAATTTAGTGTAAAGAAATCGATTTTTTACATAGTGAATATTAATTGATGGAATTTATGACAGGGAGTAACCGTTTCAAGCAAATGGCTTTAAAACAGGTATTAATACAGTTCATGAGGGGACAGGTATATAGATGACTATTAATTTTGAAAACTCGGCATTAGCTGCTGATTGGAAGTAGCCTGCCTTCATTACAGATTACTGCAGGGGATCAACTCAAAAAAGGAGTAAGTCAATAGCTTTAGCATGTGGCTATCCAAGAAACACCTAGCTGGCCTTTGTGAGAAACAAAATACTTGATTAAGGACAGCCTTCAGTTGATCAGTCAGGATTTTTTCCCCCTGTTCCAATGATGAAGGCTTAGTTTTTTATTTTTTATTTTCGTTTATTTATAGCCCGCCTTTACAAATAACTCAAGGCAGTGAACATATCCAACACATCTTCCTCTTCCTCTTTTCTCCAGAACAACAACTCTGTGAGGTGGGTTTGGCTGAGAGGCAGTAACTTGGCCAAAATCACCTTTTCATGGCTAAGACAGGACTTGAACTGAGGGCCTCCCACTTTCTGGCCAGGTGCCTTTATTAGTTGCCTGTTCTGACCCCCCTCGCCCCACACCAACACACACTCTGAGCCAAAGATACTTTCCGGAATTTATTAATAGACAGACAGCTCCTTGGCAGTAAACTGGCACAGATAAGCCATGGCAGCAATCCAGCCTGCCAAGCTCACAATCATGTTCTCCAACATTAGTTCCTGCGTTGACTTCTGCAAAAGGGGTGTGTGCACAAGCAATCCTTTTATAGCCTGGAGAGGAGCCTAATCATCAGCAGCTGAGTGCAATTACCTCTTGTAACTGCATAACTGTTCCTGACGCCTGTTAGCTCTCCCGTGCTGGGCATCCAGGAACAACTCACTGCTGATGTCGGGATCACATTCCCT